TGATAAGCAACGTGGGTTGAGTACAGAGCTGATAAACCCCGAAGAGAAGTATGAGAAATGCTGTATAGCTCATTTTGAAAAGACAACTAAAAGAGAGTATTTAAAACTTGAATAATAAAGGCTTTTTGTAAATGAATAAACAACAACCACAAAACGACATTTGTAAAGCGTCTTTCACGTCGGGAGGACGTCCCGAGGTGCTGGACAGACAGAGTTATGGACTCGGTCCAACAACAACTTGCATTTATATAGTACCCTTCACGTGTGGTAGAATCCCAGAGCGCTTGATAGTGGTTGACCCCGAGCCAGGGGGAGAGCGAGGGGGCAGGTGACTGTAAGCACGAATAAAAAAAAGTAAGGGGATAGTCATGAGAGAGTAGGGCCAACTTCAGAGCTGAATCTTGTGGTTGAGAAAGAAGGAATGGTAGACAAAAAAAATTGCATGTTAGTTTAATACCAGAGGAGGATGTGATTGAGCATCTGCAGGAGCGAAATATTGCCAGAGAAACTTTAAAAAAATTAAAACCTTTAAAGAGGAAAGTCCTGTATGGATCAACTCTTAGTTATCCTTTTGACCAGTAATTTTGACTTGAGCAACATCCACAGCAACAAATTACATTTGTATAGCGCCTTTCATGTCGGGAGGACATCCCAAGGCGCTGGATATTGATAAGAATACAACTAATATTGGTAGTTCAGAGAAATTTCCTCATACTCTGTTCACGTGCTCTGAATTCCAGTAACACTTTCGTAATAGCATCTTTTTTTTGGGGGTTGGGGGGGGACATTTTATGGAAGAAATTTATTTTTAAAGATTGAGCTCGTGATGATTTACTTACTGTGTTTAATCGCCTTTTAAAAATTTGGCTGCAATAGTAATAATAATGCGAGATAATGCATTCATGTGAAGAATATTAAGAATTCCATTGAAAACCAATATTGAGCTATTGTATAAACGATTAACGGTAGGCTCGACAGACTAATGGTTGACTCTTTCTGCGCCTTTGGACATCCTCCCGACGTGAAAGGCGCTATACAAATGTATTGTTATTGTTGTTTTCTTCTTAATAATAATAATACTTGCACTTGATGTAGCGCCTATCACGTCGTTGAGATGTCTAAAAGTGCTCCATATAATATATTGTAAAGTGGATTGACTGTGTATTTTGTGGACGAAACAGCTTCTTAGCCCGGTTCAGTTGGTAGCACTCTCTCCTCTCTTGAGTCAGCAGGTTGTGGGTTCAAGCCCAATGTCAGGACTTTGAACTCGCACTTAATCTAGGCTGACGTTGCAATGCAATAGTCGTTTGGATAAGAGCTGAAACCAAGTCTGTCCAAGTCAACATTGAAAAGAGAAGGTATTACTCCCGGTATCCTGGGCAGCTTTCCCCAGATAACGTTAGGCATATCGCCCACAAAGTATACAGTTAATTCACTTTACCTTCTGTGAAGCGCTTTGAGACATCTCAAAGTCGTGATAAGGCGTTATATCAAATGTAAGGGACTGCGGGATGGAGTTCCAGAGGGTGGCTGCAGAGTGGCGGAAGGCTCAGCCGCCAATAGTGGGGCGAGTAAGGAGGGGGAACGTGAAACAGGCGTTTCACGCTGAGCGGAGGGAGCGAACAAGGTGGTGAGGGTTAGGAGGTCAGAGAGGCAGGGGGGGACAGACCATGGAGGGCATTGAAGGTGAAAACAGGCCTACTCCTGTTCCTATGTTCCACCATATATAAGCTGCAGCTAATACAACAACAACAATGAAATGACATTTGTATAGAGCCTTTCATGTCGGGAGGACGTCCCAAGGCGCTGGAAAACAAAACTATTGTGTAAAGTCTGCACCGTCAACCACACTAAATTCCCCACGGCAATCACCTCAGGCCTCGCCGGACTCCACTGGCTTCCTGTTTCCTAACGGATCAACTTCAAAGTTCGACGACATCTCTGTAAAGTGTTCCAGGATGTTATGTTATGTTATGTGGCGGGAACTATACAAATGTTGTAAAGCTTTTCAATTCTGTAAAATGTAATGCCACCTGAAGAATTTGTAGGCCTACAAACATTTAATCACTGCGATGTTTTCTTGCGGAATAAAGGTTTCGATTTTTATAGAATGGTAAATAGTACATCTGAAAATGATTTGTATATTAGAAGCTCAAAAGAAGCTCAGAAGTTAAATGTACATATTGCAATAACTAAAGTTGCCTCAAGAACAGCCTTCACTGCACGTCAGTGTGGATTTGCAAAGTCATTCTAAATGACATTCTTCCGTCACTTTTCTCTCCTAAAATAGGAGGAGGAAAAGGGAGAAAGGGGAAGGAAATATATTAAATATTATTGTGATTGCGGTGGGAAAGGGTATTTTATCTATAATCAACTGTATTTCCAGTGAGTTGTAAAGTGAAATAAGACTAAGTTCTTATATTTCTGGTTAATATGCTTAATTTCTGTCTAAAAGTTAGCTTTTTGAATGAGCGTTTTTGAATGCAAAGTTTCATAATGCATAGATAAAATATGGCAGTCAATCAGGAACCATCTAGGCTAGTAACTGCTGCAAGGCCGAGTCCACAGATCTTACCAATGCCGCTGTCACCGCTTACAATGTATGAACCAGTCATTCTCAAATGTCATATTTCCTCTAACCAATGAAGCAAAGATCAGAAATTGAGAAAGGAAATGGCAGCAGTGTCTCGGGCAGCGTACATCTCTGGTTTTGTCATTGTGGCACTTTGCCGTTGCCTTTCACCTATTTCTGTAAACATCAGAGGAAATGTGTGCTGAACAAGTGGAGCAGAGCCTTTATCGAGACAGTGCATGGGAGGTTAAACAATAATCATCCTTGTATTTGATACAGGAAGCGCCTTATGTCGTCTAGACATCTTCAAAACGCTTCACAGGATTTACTGTGAAGTGTAGTGAATGTGCGTTTACAGTAGTCAGTTTGCACGCAGCAAAGTCCCACAAACAGCTGTGACCAGTTAAATTAGATTTTGGGGATGATTGGCCAGGACAACAAGAGAAATTCTTATCTTGGTTACCCCTAGAAAGTGATTGTCATCAATAAAATTGTCTACCATTTTAAAGTCTGTTCACATCGGTCATTCTTCCACTAACCACTGACTTCCACCAAAGAACTGCTGCTTATTTCTCAGATCTGTAGTAATTCTGTCAATCATTAATCATCTTGTGTGACTGTCATCTCACACCAAGGATAAAGGATGAGTTTATATTTGGCTTCTACACTGACAGTAACCGCTAGCTTACCCAAACTTGGCTTAGTCTAATTGCTATTTCTCGACTTATCTCACTCACTTTTTTTTAACACTGTCGTCTGTCCAGCCTTAATGATGCTCCCTCAGCCCCCACCTAGGTTTCACAGTGAAAAAACAAAATGCCCCCCGCACCCCAAAAAAAAAATCTGGTGATGATATTCATGAACCCAGTCATACGACTCGATCTTGAATAACCTTTTTTAAAAAAAAACTACAAGCACCTGTTAGTGAAACTGTGTGCTTGTCGCCCCAACCATTAGCACAGAGCTCTCTCCTCAGCATTGGGCAAGAGCCATGGGATGAAAAAAATAAATCTTGTACTTGCTCCTTCTTCTCCGCTGTCTAATGGAGACATTCAGGATTTGAATGGACAGAAATAAAGTTGGTACAAGTGGCATTACTTAGAAGACTGTGTATCCTGGATCCATTCACATTTTCTAGACTGAGGCTGAAAAGATTTTTGTTATGTCACAGAGTATCAAGGGATACAGAGCAAAGGCGTGTAATTGGAGTTGAGGTCCAGATCGGCCATGATCTAATGGAATGACGGAACAGACTCGAGGGGTTGAATGGCCTACTCCTGTTCCTATGTTGATTAGCAGAAGGAGATGCTGTGACACACCTGTTGGGAGAGTGTACTGGATTTTGAACTTGCATAGGCTAGGCTGACGCTCCAATGTAGTGCTAGAGGAACGCCGCATTGTTGGAGTGCCATCCTTTAGATGAGACGTTAATCCAAGATCTGCCAGCTCAGGTGGCAGTCAAAGATCCCGTGGTACCACTTGAAAGGAGTTTCTTTTGTTGTCCTGGCAAATAATCCTCCGGCTACAAATTAGTCATTCACCTTGTGACATTTATTGTGATATTACTGTGCTCAAATTGTCTGCCCCATTTGTCTACAAATACAGTCACAACGCTTTACAGTACACTCCCTTTGAGACATCTCAACAATGTGATAAGGCTCTATATTATATGCCAGGATTACTATTATTAATTGGCTGAAGTGTTTTGCCCACAAAATACACAATTACTCCACTTTACGGTATATTCTGTGAAGCACTTTGAGATGTCTCATTGACGTGATAAAGCACTATATCAAATGCAGGGATTATTATTATTATTAGCTGGAGCAGCAATTGGGGTGGTCCAATTTTCTCAGTGCCCTTTGATTTGGTCTGAGAAGATGGGTCAGAGATTTTCATCGGAAATGCTAATCAGAGACCTCCTCTTTGCTACTGAGTTTCACTCACAAAATATACAGTCAATTCACTTTATAAAGCGCTTTGAGATGTCTCAATGGTGTGATAAGGCGTTGATCAAAAGCAAGGATTACCATTATTACAACAATAAACCAAAAAGCCTTGGAGTTGCGGAGTGGTATTGGGCTTTTCACTTGATATTAAAGACTTTTTGACTTGTGTCCTCGGCGGGTCTGATTAATTTGCTGAACAAGCTGAAAAAAAATAATTGTCATCGTGGAAGGGAGTGTTCAGTGACTCCACTTGATTTTTTTTAAACTTAAGCCGAACAGGGGTTAGAAAATGAGACACCTGCATGAATCTGACTGGTTTAACGGGTTCCTCCCGGCCTGTTTAACAATAGCCAATGAGTAACTCGATCACTAGATGAAAACTGTGTGTGTGGAGGGGGGAGGGTGACACTTTCAGTATTTTTTTTATCAGTCACAACAACAGACATGCATTTTATAGCACTGCTGCTTTTCTCTTTCAGTGCATCCCTACATCGGGGCAACTGCAGACCTATCCGGTTTGAACCACCGATGTTAGACTTTCACGAACAGTAAGTTGAATCTTCTTGTTTTCACGTTTGCCAAGTGCAGCAGGCGACAAGGAGGGGGCGGCTGTGGAAACTGAATCGATTCAGAAGCCGTTCTGAACTGCCGATGTGTTTTAATATGAGTTCCGCTTTGTGACTGTTTTCTAAACCAAACTAAGCTCTACTCAGCAGAGATCCGTTTAAATGCTGAATTGTTTTTTGTGGAAGCAGTTTGAGGTGTGCCAGCCGGTTTGGTTGTATATCGAGGTTACGGAACTGCAGAGAGTTTTGTGAGAAGAGATATTTGTGTACAGTCGAATTTAATTTTCTTGATGGATACTTTGTGATATCGGGTGAATGTAACCGGTTTGTCTTCCATCTGAAAAGGATTGCTGTTAGGAATTGACCTTAATTGATTAGAAATCTTTCTCATTGAGGTTCAATGAATACCGCTGTTCTTTAGTTCTGTTTTATAGACGACAGCTTTGGCTGCTGAAAGATTCAGACCAATAATTGTTTTAACTCTCAGCAAATTAACTGGAATGATGGCATAGATCAATAAGATAAGGAATGTAATACAAGTAAATTGGGAGTTAGTGTAATGAGTCGACATTGCTTAAATTGATACAACGAGCAAACGTTTTTTAAAATTATATACAAAATAATAATCCTTATATTTGATCTAGCACCTTTCACGTCAGGAGGACATTTCAAAGTGCTTCACAGGATTTCACTGTAAAGTGTAGTGTTTGTGTATTTTCTGTGTTTTGTATGTGGTATGCGATAGCCAATTTGTGCAAGACAACGTCCCACAAACAGTCATGGAATGACCAATTGAAAAGTTGTTGGTCAGAGGGCCACCGAAAGAAACTCCCTTTATATTTTGGAATAGTGCCGTGGAATGTTTAACGCCCAACTGAACAGGCAAACTGGACTCATCTCAAGGACAGCACCTCCCAACAAGGCCACACTCCCCCAGCAATGCACTGCAGTGTCAGCCCCGGACAACAGGATTCCCAAGTCTCGATGTGGGGCTTGAACAGAGAACCTTCTGACTCTAGAGGAAAGAGCGCTGCCAACTAAGCGAGGCTGACATGGTTAATAAAAACAAAAACAAGTCGCTGCGACCACTCAGCAGGTCAGGCAGCATCTATGGAGAAAGGAAAGTGAGTCTACGCAGACTCACTTTTTCCATAGATGCTGCCTGACCTGCTGAGTGTTCCCAGCGACTTCTGTTTTTGTTTTCAGCTTTCCAGCATCTGCAGTATTTTGTGCTTTATGGTTAAGAAAAACATCAGTTGTCAGAAGGTTTTGACATCAGATCATTATCACCCCAGATGTTTGTTCAGCACCATGAAGGCAGAATACTTTTCACTAGTTTCATTGCATTAATTCTCAATATTCACCTAAAAATGAGTTCCCATAGTCGGAATTTAAACGCAAGACCCCATGGAAAAATTAGGGGTCTGAGAAGCTGCTTTATATGTAAATATAAATATTTAAATGTTAATATAAATATTTAAATACCCCCCAACCTTCCCAAGTGTGTATTGTATTTCACGTTTTGGATACAATAAAACATGAATGTATACATACAATTGAAAGAGATTAAATGTTTTTCCAGGTGTCAGCTCATTCTTAAATTGAGTCATTATAACGCCATTCTTTTTTTTCTTATGCACAGAACATGTTTTGTACGTGTTCATCCACTACAGCTTCCCCTTTGGAACAGAAAGTGGAACCAACAATAATGTAAATAATTTAAACTATACCATCTACAGGTAACCATAACCCTTCGACTGCCAGCAGCTCAATAGAGGCTCTCTCTCTGTCTCTGAGAAACAGAGGGGAGGTGAGGAGAAATTTTTTCAAGCAACGAGTTGTTCGGAGCTGGAATGCATTACCTGAAAAGGCGGTGGAAGCTAATTTGATAATAACTTTTAAGAAAGAAGTAGATAATTATTTGGGGAGGACAAGTTTGCAGGGCTATGGGGACAGTGCGGGGGAGCGGGATTGATCTGGATAGCTCTTTTCAAAGAGCCAGCACAGACACGATGGGCCGAATGGCCTTCTGTGCTCTATAACTATGAACCACACTGCAAACCAGCACAACATTTCCACGTGGTCCATATCCTAACTACTCTTTGCGTGAAAAATATTCCCCTAATCTCTCCCGTTTGCTTGGTCACTAACTTCCTCTTCCCCAATTTCTCTCTGCCCTTTTTTAATTTGAATTAGTTTCTAACTTACTCTTGCTTTCTTCCCTTCCCTCTTCCCCCCACCCACCCACTTTAAAAAGTTCTTGCATTCNTTTTTTACTTTCTCTCTTTCAGTTCACAATGTGAATCTGGGTAGGTGGCAGATCCTAAAACTTCTCAATCTCCGAACAATGGCTATAATAAAACAATTTTGCAGTCACCGTGAAGGTGAAAGATTACAGTTGCCACCAGTCTAAATCTCTGGTGTGCTTTTTGTGTCTAAAAGAGGAAGTTGGGTGAGTATGACTAAAATCCATCATAAACCCCCACCCACAAGACCCAAATAACAAAACAAGAGAATTTGCCTGAGATCCTGTAATGCTTCAAGAGTTAATTGTGGATTTACAGTTGTCCCCTGTGAAATGCCACAATAAAATTGCATTACAGCAACAGATACATTTTGTTGCTAAACTATGCACGGCGAGTGTGTAAAACTTCATGGCAAATCCGAGGGTCAGTAATGCATATCAGAAACTCCCAGAGTCCTAGCCCACAATCCTCCAAATAAAATTGGTCATTCGTTTCATGGCTGTTTTGTGGGACATGTGTAATTGGGTTGTCGCATATGCATTTAAATACACAGTCTCTCCACAGTAAATCCTGTGAAGCACTTTGGGACGTCCTCTCGATGTGAAAGATGCTATACCAAATGAAAGGAATATTATCCTTTATTATGTACAGTTGGAGCCTGTTGTACCGTGTTTCGGGATACTGCAAGTTTGTATATAAGGAGTCCTGCAGCTCAGTGGGTAGAGCACTTGCAAGCGAGAGAATTGGGTTCAATTCCTGGCAGGGCAAAACCTTGGGCAAGTTTCCTTACTCCACATAATAATCCCTCAAGAAAAAAAAAACAATAATAAATTGGTCACTTCAATCCACGACTGTTTGTGGGACACTGCTGTACGCAATTAGCTGCTGCATTTTGCCCACAAATATAGTCAATTCACTTGAGAGTATATTCTGTGAAGCGCTTTGAGACGTCTAGAAGACGTGAAAAACACTAAATGAAACGCAAGGATTATTATACTATTTCTTTGTATAATTTGTACCCAGTGTGGACCAGCAGTTCACTAGATCTCTGGTAAATATCTGGCTCCCAGTGCCGACCGGCTGGCCACCTGCTTAAAGAAGCAGAAGGTTCGCAAGGTGGTGGTGCGCTCGCAACTGCTACAAACACGCACAAGACCACTTGTCAATGACCAGCTGGCTTCCTGTGCGTATACACAGCACAAGGGAAGTGATGTCGGTGGCAATCTGATGACCCGGAAGCCCTGACTGGTGGCCACCGTTATAATGTGAGGTTTGATTTTATGAACTTCTTCTCCAAAACACCCTGTTACCGTGGGGTTAGACTGACACGTGGACCCTATTGTCCTATTTTCCAGTGCAAGTGCCTATTTTCCAGTGCAAGTGTTAGAAAATAATCTTTGCAATTCCCCACTTTGTTCTTCATATGTAAATAACAGACCGTTACTCTCAACAGTCAAAGGTTACCTTGTTCAGTTGAGGACTATTGAATAAGCTACACCTCCAGTTTCGAGGGTTCATAAAAAATTGAGTTACAGTGTGACTACTATGCGGCAGAAGATTCAGTGGAATAATTCAGGTCTCCAGTACTTGTTTTCATGTTCAAATTCCTCCAAAGCCTCACCACTCCCTGCAACTCTCCAGCCCGGCTACTCCCTCTGCTCAGCGAACACTGACTTGCTTCATGTCCTGCACCCATCCATCGGTAGATGAGTTTTCAGTCATTTTGTCCCTGCAATCTGGAACTTATAGTAATAATAACAGCAAATATAAAACAACAGTGTCCCTCAAACAGTCATGGATTGAGTGACCCTTTTTTTTGGAGCTGTTATTCACCCTGAAAGCGATCTGCCTTTTGACTAATAACCAGGTTGCTACTTACTGCAAGGTAAAGAGAGGCATGTGGAGTAAGAACTTGCCTAGTGTTTCACCCTGCCCGAGAATTGAACCTGGGTCCTCTCGCTTGCGAGGTAGAAACTCTAACCACTACGCTACGGATCTCTAATCCTGAAGTTCTTCTGCCCTCCCTCCCCACCTTTAAAGCCTGCCTTAAGACCTTTCTTTTCAACCACCCTTCTGGTTACCTTCTCAACTCCCTCACCCCTCGTCCAAACTCCCATTCACCTCTGTGAATCGCTTTGAGACGTTCACCTGATGTGAAAGGCACAAAGTAAATGTAAAATCGTTGTTGTTCCATGGGCCAGTTTGAATATATTACATTTGTAATTTTTAAATATATTTTCTAGCTGGGTAAATAGATGGTTAATTTTTTTAAGCTAACCTACTATTCACTTATTTTCATGTGACTAATATTGCCTCTGGAATTTGCTTAGGCTAAAGAAGCACCAGAATGCTTTCTTGACTCCACCCATGTTGCTTGATGTCATCTGTGCCTGACTTCAAAACCCTTGTAATAACCGGTCTCTTTGATTGCAGCTTTGGCCAGTATCCTCAAATTACTCCTTCTATTTTGCTCACTGAACCCCATTAAAATCGTAAAGGAATTCTCTGCCTCAGTCCCGCTGCTTTGCTCCTTTTTTGTCCATCTACAGATCGCACCCAAAGATCTTCCTCTTCGATCGTGTCTATAGTTACCTCCCCTCTCTTCCCCAGCTCGGTGTCCAGCTCCGCCGTTATTAAGAACTCCAAGGCGCTATCCAGTGAGAAATTACCCTTTGTGAAAGGTGCTATATAAATGCATGTTGTTGCTGTTAGCAGCTTCTACAGTACTGCCCTACA